CGGGAGGGGAGGGTGTAGGGCGCGGAACAGAGGTTGCAGGGTTGAGCACAGTGGCCACGCTCTCGCTTGGCCCGCCTCGCGGCGGTATCCGCTTCGAGGGTCCCGTAATTGCATTTTTTTTAATGTTTTTTTTCTTTTTCTTTTTTCACCCTTGCCGTGATCGCATCTTGTCTTCAAACTTGTCGAATCAACAGCGGCGGGCCTTTCCAGGAGACCAATTTCCCCGCCTTTTCCCGGAGGTGCTGGGGAAGGCTGAGGAGACCAATTTCCCCGCCTTTTCCCGGAGCTGCTGGGGAAGGCTGAGGAGATTCCAGGCTTTGCCGTGCGCGGCGAAATCGAGACGAAGAAGGGAGGACAGATGACCAACCCCTGCTGGTTTTGCCTCTCGATTTTTGAGAGAAGTCGGAGTTCAGCCCAAGGGCTCTCTCTCTCCTCACAAGCGGCCTTTGCCTATAAGGCCAACGCACCCACATTACGAGTGCTGACTGTGCGCTAGCTATTCTTCATTCGAACACCCAACGCGCGACGTAGGTGAGGACAAACATACCCACACACACGAGATAGCGAGCGAGCGAGCGAGAAAGCGCGCGCGCGCGCGAGAGAGAGAGAGAGGGTTCGTCTTGTGTACGCTGTGAGTGGAGTGTGGAGACGGCGACTGGGAGGTGGGCGTGAGGCGCCCAGCTGTTGTCTGTCTTTGGACGTTCGAAGATCGCCGGTGGGTTTCGAGAAACAGACGGGATTGATTGACATTATAATTAACAGTGTGGTTGGTTGATGAGCAGTGGGGAGAAGGATGGGAACGATGGTACTGACGGGGTATACGTGAGGTACTGTTGTTGTTGACGTCCATGTATTTAAGGATTTTACAGCGACCTCGTGAATTGCAGTTGCTGGTACTGAGAGAGGAGACTTTGTGAGTAGGACTAAAGTAGCGGTCGACAGCGGCGGAGTCGGGATCTTCTCTGGGGCTGAGACGGACCGGAGGAGACGGTAATAGCAGTAGCAGTAGCAGAACGAGGCAGCGGAAAGGAGTACGAGAAGCAGAGAATGAAGAATCTGAGGAGTACGTGAAGCTGAGGAGCTAAAGCCGGCTGTTGTGTGTGTTCCGCATTCGCTAATCACAACTCCTCAGGGACAGGGTAACTACGACAGATTGTTTCGTCCGACTTTCACGGACTCGTCAGTAGTTTGTTTGTTTGTGTGTGTGTGTGTGTGTGTGTGTGTGTGTGTGTGTGTGTGTGTGTGAGAGAGAGAGAGAGAGAGAGAGAGAGAGAGAGAGAGNAGAGAGAGAGAGAGAGAGAGAGAGAGAGAGAGAGAGAGAGAGAGAGAGAGAGAGAGAGAGGAGGGGGGTCAGAGCAGGTGGAGGAGGAAGAGAAGAGATCGATGTAGTTGCGCAGCGAAGAAGAGGGAAACGAGAGAGGGCGGAGAAAGGGACACGTATTGTCATGCAGGACTCCGAATTTGCCGTCGAGAGCCGTTCGGTGTCGTTTAGAGTGATGGTTTATTTTCCCCCTGGCTTGTGGATTAAAGTAAGATAAGATAAGAAGAGTCGCGGCTGCGAGAAATGTGTCATGTCAGTGATCCGCGTTTTCACACCGAGGCTTTTTCGTGAACTTTGTTTTCCCGCATTAGGCTGACGTCTGATGGGTGATTGGCAGTCCGAGTCGGCTAAAGATCACACTACGTCTTTCGATTGATGACTTGTTTGATTGATCCATTGATTAGTTGCTGGAGCATTGAATCAATTGATTGATCCATCGCGATTGATTCGATTGGTTTCGATTGATAGATTGACAATCATTGATTGATTGATTGATTGATTGATTGATTGATTGATTGGTCATCGGCTGCTAACATCGGATACGTCGGTTAGCTGAACGGGGAGTTAAGCATCGTTGTGGTGGTGAAGTGAGTTTTTAGATTAACGGAACGTAACTGTGGTTAACGGTTGCCGTTAGCTGAGATAGAGATTGTGAAGCGAAAGTTAGCTGATGAAACTTACTGTATTTTACTGTTGGCCAAAGGTTGCTGTTTTTTTTTTTTTTTTTTTTTTTGGTAACTCAACAACAGGCATGCATGCTTGCATACACGTATGAAGTGCGTACGCTTGCATGATACATGTATGAAGTGCGTACGCTTGCATGCATGATGTACGTACGCTTGCATGCATGCATGTACGATCTTACGTACGTACGCTTGCATGCAGCAATCAAAGGTTCATCCTTTCATTAGTCCAGTAATACAGCAGTATTAATATCCTGTCTTCGCCAATCGCCGGCATTGCTCGCACCTCGCGAGCTCCTTAGTTGAAAGCGATAGCGAATTTCGGATTTGCAGCCAGCCGACTAAGTTCCAACGCCTGCGCACTTGATTGGGAATTTGGGAGTGCTGCTCATTGCTCAATCCAGGTAATGAGGGCCCACAGTCAAGAAGAAGGACAACAGTGCTGATGACGAGTTACTGTAATACCAATCCCCGAGTTATAACACCAATCCCCCCCAAACTAGTGACCACAGCCAGCGACATTACTGTAGATTTGTTTGTCGAGGGCCGCCCGTCATTGAGAGACGATGGACGGTGCTGATAACAAGTTCGACATTTAATTTAGTGTAGATTTGTTTGTCGATGTGTCGGAGCTCTAGACGGCGACACGTGGCTGGCAAAGGCGGTCCGGTCCGGGAGTTCCGTTCGAGATAATCATGACCCAGAGTTGAGTACCGAGTAGACGGAGAGGGCTGATGACATCAGGCCTCGACCTGGCGACCACCAGAACGCCGCTGAGTACAAGCCGTTTCGTTCTCTCGTGATTACGAGGAGGACGATGGCGATGGGCTGACATCTATGGCAATCCTTTTTCCGTTGTCGTGAGCTCAAGCGTGGGGTGGTGCTGAGGGCAATCCTGTCCGAACCTGTGACCTCAAGGACAAAAGCTGGCTGGCAGTGATCCTTATTCCTTATCGAGGCGAGCTCAAAGACGGACGGGAGACGGGACTGACAATCCTTGGCCCGGCGAAATCTGGGTTCGTTGTTGTGTTCACAAGGACGGTGGCCATCATAATCCTCGTTGAGTCGTTGTTGTCGGCTGGAGGGGGGTAGGGGGCGCGGGAGAGCGGGGAGAAGATTCTGAAGAGATTGACATGCAGCATAGGGAAGCAAGGTGAGAATCCTCGGCCCGGCAAAATCTGCGTTCGTTGCTGTGTCCTGAGCACAAGGACGGTGGTCATAATGCTCGTTGTTCCCCAGTGTAGGTGGAGGAGGGGGGCGCGGGGACAAGAAGAGAGTAACGGGCAGCTGAGGGAAGGAAGGAGAGGACGCAGTTGCCAAAGGGACAGAGCTGACAGGTTTGGGACAGGCTTGGACATAGGCTTGGGATTCTGAGGAGATTGGGGTGTTCCTGAGAAACCATAACTGACGGCGGATGAGGATCGGGTCAAGTGCGACAGCGCGCGCGCGCGCCCACACACACACACACACACACACATACTCACACTTACACACTTACACACTTACACACTTGCACACACACACACACACACACACACACACACACACAC